TAAAAATAAAATAAATAAATAAATAAAATAAAAAAAATAAATAAAAATATAGGATAAAAAATTATGATAAAAAAAATATATATATAGATAAAAAAAAAAAAAAATTGTATATTATGCTCATATATGTTGTTAATACTATATAATTGTATATTAGTTTTGGAAAATTGTCTGTAGCGATTAATAAGTATGCTGTGTTTAAAGCAACCCAATGTAATTGGGCAGCACCCTTTTATGATAATAAAGTGATTCTCTCTCTACAACATGTAGAGTAACTGTTCAAAGGGGCCTCCGTTTTGTTGAATGCAACATTCAGCACGAAGAATCCATGCTTCTCTGCCTCTTAGTATAGGATCAGGATGGTCCTTGATAGTTACTGCGGCTTCCACGATTCTTACCTCTTCTTGCGTGCCAACTGCCGCAGAATAAGCCATAGACTTCATCCAGCCCGACACGAAATAATCTAATGGCGTTAAATCCGATAGCCCTGGAGCCAGGGCCCAAAAATCTACCTGATCGCAGGCGAAGGTTTGATTGTAGATTACGAAAGTGTATGTTATTCTGAGTAAAAAAAACCTTGTCTGCCGTTCCGGAGCCGCTGCTTTAAAAAATGGTGGCTGATTTAAAGAATATTAGGCCAATAATTTGAGGATCGGAACGGGAAATCCATTGCGAAAAATGTGAGAAAAGTTTCTATTTTTTAAACTTGTATATATGGGTTTAGACATGTAAAAAACAAAATTGCTAACGCAGGCCACCAAGGGAAAACTTTTTACAGCCAAAAAAGTCAGATTTTTTCGATATTTTTAGGGTTTTCCATCTATAACTCCTAAACAATGCATCAAAGCGAAAAATGTGTTCTTTAATAAATTAAAGAGCGTTAAATTTTGCGTCAAACGAGTACATATAATTTAAAATTTGGTTTCGCGGTAAGGTATAAAACCACGGTCAACCAACTCCGAGTTTTCCTAAATTTTTCAAAAACTGGGAAAAATTACTATAAATGGCCCTGTAACCTGGAAATAAGTTCCCTAAGAGGAAAAACCCATAGGATCAAAGTAATCAAATTTTGCGTATACTGGGAACTGACATTTTTATTGTTGGCCAAATATATCTCTCGAATCGGGATTCGTTATTCCTTTATAAAATTCGGTGTATTTCGGCACATCGTTTACCAAAATCTTTTGCTGTTGAGAGGTGGAAAAGAGGCATATACTGCATGTAACAGATTTTAAACAAAACTAACTCAGTAGAATAGATTACCATACTGTTGAAATATTGAAAATCACGTTTTCCTTCATTACCAATTTCTAGCCATCGGGAGATTACCGATTTTGTTCGCAGCAAGTAACCTACATTAAATTAATTGATACTGAGTATACGCGAAATTTAATGCTCTACAACTTTAATTCTATGGGTTTTTCCTCTTATGAAACTCATTTCCAAGTTACAGGGCCATTTATAGTAATTTGTCCCAGTTTTTGGCAAATTTGGAAAAACTCAGAGTTGGTTGACCGTGGTTTTATACCTTACCGTGAAACCAAATATTAAAGTATATGTACTACTTTGACGCAAAATTTAACGTTCTTTAATTTATTAACGAACACGTTTTCGCTTTGATGCATTGTTTAGGAGTTATAGACGAAAAACCCAAAAAATATCGAAAAAATCTGACTTTTTTTGGCTGTAAAAAGTTTTCCCTTGGTGGCCTGCGTTAGCAATGTTGTTTTTTACATGTCTAAACCCATATATAAAAGTTTAAAAAATAGAAACTTTTCTCACATTTTTCGCAATGGATTTCCCGTTCCGATCCTCAATTTATTGGCCTAATATTCTTTAAATCAGCCGCCATTTTTGAAAGCAGCGGCTCCGGAACGGCAGACAAGGTTTTTTTTTACTCAGAATAACATACACTTTCGTAATCTACAATCAAACCTTCGCCTGCGATCAGGTCGATTTTTGGGTCCTGGCTCCAGGGCTACGAAGATCGTAGTGGCCATTTAGCAGGTCCGTTTCGACCAACCCATCGGTCTCTATAAATTGCATTTAAATAATCAGTGACACTATTAGAAAAGTGAGCTGGAGCACCGCCATGCATGAACCACAGCCTTTGCCTAATGCCTAGCGGAATATCTTCTTGGGGTTCATGAACTCTATGAATCAGTCTAAATGTAGTAAATAAATAATAAATCTTTAACCTTTGATGTCTGTTCAATAAATGAGTTTGAGATATATGTTAATATGAACATTTTTGTTTATTTTGTGTTAGTGAACACATGCCTAAAATAGTGCCATGCAATTACGAAACATTCTGTATATTGACCCTAACCCGAACACCCCACATGCCATAAAACATTCGGTTTTTTTTTAGATATCTTGCATAAATTAAAAGTTTCCCTGGATTTTTGCTGTTTTTATACCTTTTAAAAACAGTTATAATAAACTTTGAATAGGTCACTTTTAGGTCTATTCGAAATCAATAATCTTGAAATATGGAAATCGGTACGGAAGGTATGAGTTATTTCCATCCATTACTTCGACAGTATGGGTGTCTATTCTACTGGTTTATTGTTGTCATGGTTGAGGAAGAAGCGCAGGGATCTCCTAAAGCCTTGCTTTCCCTCCACGTGTGGGGAGATAAGTATGGTTCGGAGTTCCTATGGCCGACTGTAAATAGTGTAATAGGTATGCCTGCGTCTAAGATGTTTATTTTCTTTTTTTTTTTCTCACTATGATATTTTATTTTGTTCTTTTGTAGCTTTATATTATTTGAAGTTAGCTTATTTTTTTTATTTTTTTATTTTTTTTAATTTGTAAATATGGTGTGAATGTGCTCTCAGAACTCTATTGTAAATGTCCTTTATTGAGACAGATTGTAATATTTATCAATAAACCAAAAAAAAAAAATTGTTGTCAAAAGAGGGGGTGTCAAAAGAAACCGAAATTCAAGAAAAAATAACGAATCCTGATTCAAGATATATAATTATCCACATTAAAAATGTTACAACTCATGCTCTACAACTTTGATTCTATAGGTTTATCTCTTAAAGAACTCATTTCCAAGCTATAGGGCCATTTATAGTAATTTGTATCAGTTTTTGACAAATATGGTAAAAATTAGCATTCATTAATTGTGGTTTTGTACAATACCACTTAACAAACTTATTACGTTTAATTACTCGTTTAAGGCAAAATTTGACGTTCTTTAATTTCTTAAAGAATACGTTTTTCTTTTTTATGGACCGTTTAGGAGTTACAGATGAAAAAACAAAATAAAATCGAAAATATCTATTTTTTTTTTTTTTTTTTCTGTAAAATGTTTTCTATTGGTGAAAAGCGTTAGAAAATTTGTTTTTTTTTTTTTTGTTTTTTTTTTAAATATTTGGTTTGAGTTCTACCAATGGGTAGTTTCTCTTCATGTTGTACATGCCATGTTACAAATTTCTCATTTACTTATTGTATTCTCTATGTAATACAGTTGTAAATTTTATTAAAATAATAAAAAAAAATATTTGAAACCCATATATACAATTTTTTTTTAAACATATTTATTGAGAGATATTACAATACAGGACATTTATAACAATGTTCAAAGAGCACATTCACAATAAATAATATAGAAAAATAATAATCCTAAAAATAAATATATATAAAGTAAACAAACAAAAAGAAACTTTCTCCCCACACTTATAGAGGGAAAGGCAGGACTCTATGAGATCTCAGCGTCCCTCGAAATAGTGAACATTTTCAAAAAGTACGGCTCCGAAAACATATAAATAAATCCTTCTATCGAAGTAATAAAAAAAAAAAAAACTCAAAAAAGTCGCTATGCAGTAGCTTAATCTTAAAAAAAAACTATGAATCTGAAAATATATAAATAAATAGAAACTTATATAGTAGAAAAATAAAATTGGCGTCAAATTATTCGAAAAAAATCGAATAACAAATAAAAAGATAATAGATGACTTGAATTTATTTATTATCTAGATAAAAGATAAACAGGATTATTCGTTATTCGTAGTTAAAAGTTCGAATAAATTATTCGTTATCTATTATCAATTATTTAAGATAAAAGAAACTAAGCTAATGAAAATAACTACCCAAACACCCACATGCTTTTATACAATATCTAAAAAATAAACGATTCATTCACCCAAGATCTCCGAACCAAACCTTTCTCCCCACACTCATAGAAGGAAAGGCAGGACTCTAGGAGATCCCAGCGCCCCTCACGCAGCAGCATTGCGGGTATTAAAGATCAGTAGAGGCTTGAGTAGAGAATCTGGCCATTGCCAAAACTCCAATATATATACAATTTAAAAAAATAAAAACTTTTCCCAAATTTATCGCGATATATTTTCCGTTTCGATCCTTAAGTTATTGGATTCACATACTTTAAATCAGCCACCATTTTTGAAAGCAGCGGCTCGTGAATGTCACCGAAGGTTAATTTGACTTAAACAACATACACTCTCATAATTTACATTAAAACCCTCGCCTAGGTCCCTTTTCCCCATGACTCCATGGCTAAGTGGAGACTGAATGAAGATATTAGAGCTACTCGAAAAAGCAATAAGTAATTGCACTAGCGGATCCAGGATTTAATTTTTTTTTGGGGGAGGGGCTTCAGCCCGAAAGATATTTTTTTTTTCATAAATCTTCATAAAAATAATTAAATAATAAAAATAAAAAAGAAAGAAATTAACTACCTTTATGAAATGGCGTTTAAGTGGTTTCTAAAGTCCTATTAAATGTATAATTTAATAAATGTAATTAAACGTATAAGAATACTTTAAGAGATAGTTTTTAATATTTTTTTCTGTAAAACATGGTTATATTTTACCATTTTGGGGGGGAAGACTTTAGCCTGAAAGTTCCCTTCTCTCCCCCCCCCCCGTAGATCCACCTGTGAGTAATTGTTATAAAAACTAGTAATTGTTAGATTAATTAATCTTATTAATAGTGTAATATTATGTAATTATATTTTTAGTATTATTACTGACCTCAGCTGAACCAACCGAGAATACTATCGCCACCATTAATACTAAACACTTCATTTTCAGAGAGGACCGAATAATATTGACAAATGCTATGAGATAGAATGTTTATCGAGTCTCAAGCGTTATTAACATTTATAGGCTGAGCCCCCACCAACATCCATTGTGAGCATTTCTTCATTTTTATCCTGTTTACTTTATTATCTAGTTTATAGGACCTTCTCAGGATGTCAGGACATCTTAGCTGAAGATTATCCCTTTATCCTCTAGTCTTATTTCGTGTCAGTCAATGTAGCTACTATTCGTATTATCTTAAGTCAAGGATCTTATCATAGATAACGCGAATGTGAATATTCTCAATATTTAAGCCATTTCGGTTCATTGTTTTCAATAAGAAATCTTTGTAATCGACCAAAAAAAAAACTTTCTCTTACCGCTCCATTTTGAATAGAAATTATTTTCTGGCCATGTTGAGCCATTATAAATTTTTTAAATAGCATTTTTAACTGAGCTAAAGCTAAATGCGCATAGCTAACAAATCATAAATACCATTAAAATAACAAAAGTCTTATTTATTATATCACCGCTTAATTACGGATTGTACGATCCGTTGATTATGGAATGTACGACTATTAGTTATTAAATAGTTATTTTCCATTGCATAGTTTACTAAAATGGAATTAAGAGATTTGCATTGTTGAATATCACAAAAGGAAAATTCATCAAATTATTCACTAATTTAATTTTCTAAAAGGTTTTTCAGAATAAGCATACGATAGATACCTAATTATTTAAATATAATATCAGATCTAGAGTTATTAAACTATAGTAAATATATTTAATATGAGAAGGAGTTCGTCGAGGGTGCGGTCAAATAAATAAAAAAAAAAATTAAAATATATAAATTATTTTAAGTTATCTAACATAATTATATTATGTTATCTTATCCATATTTTAACTTTACTGTAACAATAGTTATTCAATTTTCAATCTATTTATTCGTTAACATTCATTTATTCGTTAACATTCATGTATTTATTTTCTTTTATCTATTTTCTTATCATGTATTTATTTTCTTTATATTTTATTTCTGTATCAGACAACTTCTTCGTTTTTTATATATACTTATGTTTATTTTTTATTTTATTTTTATTTTTTCAACATGTTTGTATCTTTTGTAGCCCTGAAGACGACCTGCAAAGTGGGTCGAAACGTCGGCAAAAATTAAAATAATTTATATATTTTAATTTTTTTTTTTTTAATTTTTTTTTTTTTTATTTATTTATTTGACCGCACCCTCGACGAACTCCTTCTCATATTATATTAACGGTCAACCATCTCTACATCATTATAAATATATTTAAGGTTATAAATATATCAATGAAATATTCTTATATTTCACTTTTTTAATACAAGTACAATGAAATAGTGTCTTAAACAGTGCCATTGCCTTGAATATTATCTAAATTTTAAATACTTTTTCAAACTTAAAAAAAAAGTTAAAAGTTGACATTTAGTAATGAAATTTCATTTAACTTCCTTGAAAACACGCGATTTACGTTAAATAATGTTAGTTTATAGAAATTATTATTTATATTTTTTTCACCACTCTCCGTTACCTTCTACAATTTTCTATATTAGATATTAATAATAATAGTTATACCCTTTATTACTATTCAGTAAATAAAAAAAAGATTCACAATCGTCAATAATGTATATCTTCGCCACGAGTTCTCAATTTTTTTAGGAGCTGATTTAAATCCAGAGTTTAATCACCGATAAGCAGAGAAACCCACGTGTGTAGCGATAGTCAGATAATTCTTATTCGTGAATTTACTGAATTGAATAATATTTAAAGAAAAAAAAAACGAAAATAGATTTATTTTTAGTAGCAAATACATCTCCTAGGATTTTTGTATTTAATCTAATATTTAAGATTAAGGAAGATTTGTTGAGAACTTATTTTCTTTTAAATTAACTCCAAAAAAACAGGAAGCAATCCTTCGAATCTCAAGTGTTTGTCATAATTTTTGCAGTTAATATTTTGAGTAGAAAATCTATTTTTGAAGAAAAACAAAAAAAACAAACAATAAATCACGATTGATCTTAATCTAGAGGAAACAGGAAAATTTGTAATCTACGACAAATAAAAACTATGATAATAGAACTACGAAATAAAATACGACTGAACAAGAAATTAAATAAAACTAACATCAGTATTTCTACTCTTAACTATAATTAAAGAACACCAAAGTTTAAGATAAAAAGCATACATTGTAAATTGGGTGCCCTGATTTGGTACAGCATTTATTTAGATTTACCTGATTTACCTTAGTCAATCAATGTATATTTAATTTTATATAACAATATTAATGTATGATTAAAAACTAGATAATTAAAAAACTATAAAAAATGTTCTAATTACAGACGAAATACATATTAAAGAAGTAAAAACACAAATATATGAATTTCTACTCTAAAATTACTGATACAATATAAACACGTGATTGTATTTCTCTAAAAACCAGACAGCTCCTTGTATTCCCCCACTTCAACTACGGCTGCTTGGTGTATGGAGGGCTATCTGCCAGGCTGGAATTGAGACTAAAAAAGACTCATGAATTGTTTCATAAGATTCATTTTCGGGATCCCCAGGCGTTCACATGTTTCACTATGGTACACCGAGTTGAAGTGGCTTTATCCTACTTCAGGACGACAATTCCTTCTTGGCGTTTTCCTTTTCCAAGTCTTCAGAACCAAAAACCCTCCCTACATCCTGGAACTCCTTACTCTGCGCTCCTCTATCCACTCTCTCAATACTAGGTCTCAACCTATAGACTTATATATTCCCTCCCATAAAACTTCCTCCTTCAGCAAATCCTTCGTCATTCGTGCTGCTTCCTTATGGAACTCACTTCCTACCCCCATGCGTCAATCCTCATCCACAAATTCCTTCAAACAACTCCTGTTCCAACACCTACTCCACAATCAAACTTCCCCTAGCATGTAAGATTACTTGCATCTATACAATGTTTAATTTCAATCCATTGCACAATTGAAATAAGAATTAACAATAAATTAGTTGGTATTTTTATTATGTCAGACTAAGATACATAAATTTGTAACTCTGTTATTATTCTTAGGCACGGGCGGATCTACGGGGGAGGGGAGAGGGGCTTTCGGGCTGAAGCCCCCCCCCCCAAATGGAAAAATACAACCATGTTTTATGGAATAAAATTTTAAAAAATACCTCTTAAAGTATTATTGTTCGTGTTTACATTTAAAAGGACTTAAGGAATCCCTTAAACACCATTTCATATAGGTAGTTAGTTTCTTTCTGTTTTTCCAAAGTAATTATCGTTATTTTTATGAAAAAAGAAGGTTTCGGGCTGAAGCCCCCCCCAAAATTAAATCCTGGATCCGCTAGTGTTCTTAGGGGACAGTAGTCCCAGAGTAAAATTATTTTTTCATTTCATTTCATTTTCATTTTTCAAAATTGGCACCGCATAAGACTGATAAATTATGGCACAAAGATAAAAGAGAAAAAAACATAGATAATTATAAAGAAATAAAGGGTCCGAAAATCAATACCAATATAAAAACTAATCAAAACAAGAACAAAAAGAAAAAAGAAAATCTAATCACAAACTATTTTAAAGTAGATGATACAGAAAAACATAAGCATAACAAAGAAAATCCTGATCTACAATTTCAGAATGAGAAAAATAAGAATATTAACGCAGACCCCAAACCCAAAAAATACTTTTCGGTCACTTATATTAGAGGTTTAACTGATAAAATTGAAAAAAAACTTTTAAAAAATATGAAGAGAAGAATAGTTGGGTGCTCAGTCAAAAAGGAAGGCAAAAATAAATTATAATATTTATTTTTTACATCTGCCGACGTTTCGACCTGAAGTTCAGGCCATCATCAGGGCTAAGAAAATAACCAGATAACAAGGTATGAGAAACTTAAGTAATGATGGTAAAAAAGATAATAACAAAAAAAAAAAAAAAAAAAAAAAAAAAAAAAAAAAAAAAAGATGAGAAAATAAAATAGATTAGATCTAGATAAAATAAAAATAAAATAGATAGATATAAAGTAAAATTTTACTTTATATCTATCTATTTTATTTTTATTTTATCTAGATCTAATCTATTTTATTTTCTCATCTTTTTTTTTTTTTTTTTTTTTTTTTTTTTTTTTTTTTTTTTTTTTTTTTGTTATTATCTTTTTTACCATCATTACTTAAGTTTCTCATACCTTGTTATCTGGTTATTTTCTTAGCCCTGATGATGGCCTGAACTTCAGGTCGAAACGTCGGCAGATGTAAAAAATAAATATTATAATTTATTTTTGCCTTCCTTTTTGACTGAGCACCCAACTATTCTTCTCTTCATTATCCACGACAGTCAACCAATTACCAATTTTAAAAAATATGATATAAATGAAATCAGATTTGGGAAAAAACCAATTAATAAATTAGATAAATTATATAGTAGAACTAAGGATATTATTCCAAAAGAAAAACTAACTAATATTGTTTATAAAATACAATGCGAGGATTGTGAAAATAAAGCATATTACGGACAAACCTCACAATGGTTTGAACTTAGGATACAGCAACATGAACAAAATTGCAGGTCTAAAACGACAAAATCAAAATTAGCCACAGGATTATCGCAGCATATCACAAAAAAATGGACATAAATTTGATTTCGGTACTGCTTTCGTGTTGCATAGAAAACAGAATATTGCGAAACGTAGAATAATTGAATCCATTTTTATTACTAAAAATCTCAAAAATTCGGTGAATCAACAGACAGATGTTGATAATTTAAACACGTTTTATGCTAGCACAATAGACAAAATTAATATATAACATACTGATATAAAACAGCTTATCCCTAACCCCTCCACCCCATTGCTTATGTAAGTAAATCCAGTCCTGTATGAATGCCCTATTGAAGAACAATACTTTCTTGATACCGTCTGCAAATATATAAATCGAAAATTAATAATATTCTTTTTTAAAATTAATTATAACAATCTATTTTAATTTATTATTTATATATTACAATTTTTAGAAACGAAAACGACATACTT